GAAATCCATAAATCTTTCTCTTTGTATAATGTCTTCTGTTTTCTGGCGTTTGAACAAAAACAGAGATCTCAAGACCCTTAGCCTTCCAGGAAAGCTTCCACCCGAGTTTGCCGACCTTCGATATCTCCAGTCGATGTGAGTTTGGCCACGTGAAATTTTTAATGGGAAATTAGCATTGACCATAAAAAAACTATATCTAATAATCCTAATCACTAACTTAGGGTTCTTAATTAGAATATTATATAATTTTTTTTGTTTGGTTATACCTGACCCATTTTTAATTAGAATATTAGAGAATAATCGATAGTAGTTGTTAAGCTGGGGTGCTAAATGATTTTTTTATTATAAATTGTATTGTCTCTTAAATTATGACCTTTTATTGGAGTTCGTTTTATGTATTATTTAATTGTTTTTAACTTCTTAGAAACCCATTAAAAACCACTTAACAACCACCATTGATTATGCTCTTAGAGAGAGACTAGTTTTCCGTTGTCTGAGTTCGAAGACAAGTTGTAAGCTTGATCACTGAGTCTCTTACTCTTGGTTACATTGGAAAACTACTCTCTCTCTATCTTATTTTTGTCTGTTTTGCTTTCTGTTTACTATTTTGGTGTTATGGATTGACGACTTATATCACTCGCCATCACCTCTGAGTGTTGGGAACTTATTTTGTTATCCATCTGTTTGCACAATTTTGCTTTTTATTTTAGTCTTTGCACAATTTTACTCTGGTTTCGTTTATGCTTGCATGAGATGTTTGTATCCAGGCCAATCTGTTATGGTGCAGTGAATACATTGTGATAATGATTTTGTTGTTATGAATGATGAAGTAGGATACAGGTCTCTGAATTTTGATTGAATTATGTGTACTAGGGAAAGTTTGTGATGTTTAGCATATAAAGAGATTGTGATTCTGTTATTGTTGGAATGTTGAAGTCGACTGTTATATCAAGAATACATGTTGAATTAGTAAAGAGAATATCTGTGTGTTTTAGCAGATGCATTTGCAATTAGGTTACTTGCAAGTGAAGTCGACTGTATTATAAATAATCCAAATATTCAGGTCTCTTGGGTTTTAATTAATTAGGAAAGAGAGAAAGTCTGTGATGTTTAGCATATGAATTTTCGATGGTTTGCAATTTTTAGTGTTGATTGTTGTTTTGAGAAAATCCTATTTTTCTTCAATGAAACTGAGTAATATTCCATTGACCTTGATAAGATTTATTTTGAAAAGTATAAGAGAGACTGAATAATCAATTTGAGCAGAAGCATTGGTAATCTAGAAACATAACAAAGCCATTATCTTTGGTGCTCTGGTGTGAATTAGTCTCTCTATTATATTCTCATTTTTTATTTGGATATAATAAGGCCCAAGTTTGACCTGGAAACTTCGGTGACGACCAGAACCGGCATTTTAATTTGAAACGCGTTCTGTCGTCGTTGGTCGGTGAGAAACCGGAAGTTTCCACGAACAGGCCCATTTTTGTCCACCGTTGTTTCTGTCTCTCTGTTTTTTCCACAATCGACGACACCATTTTTGTTCACAACCGCCGTCGTTGTCTTTGACCACCACAGTCTCCGTCTCACCAACCACTACTCTCTCCGTTTTTCTCCACCACCTTCTCCTTCATGAGAGAGATGTTGCTTTTTTTTACTGTTTTTGAGATAAATGACATTTTTTGAAGATTTTGCCAATTAAATGACATTATTGGCAATTTTTTCTTGAGAATATTCAAATGTGTTTGGCAATGGTGACATAGTAATATTTGAAAATAATTGTGTTTGGTAGTTAGTATAAAAGAATTCAATAAATCAAAAATAAAAAAAACATAAGTAAAATTGTGGTGATGACACGTCATAAAAATAGTCTCTAATGTTTCTTCTTTAATATATAGAAGATTATTATGTAAGCTAAT